TGACTCCTTCAGTCTCAGCTGACTGCAGGTTTCAACCTTATAAACAGGACATCTGCACACGACTGGCTCCACTGATGGACCAATGGGCTTTTACATGAAGTGTGACTCGGAGAGGGGCTGACCTGTCACCATGCTACAGTGCTGTGATTGCAGCCGTCCCCCGGCTCTCTGTGAACGCGACTCGTGGACATTGATCGGTGGCTGTTGATGAGTGGTCGGACAGTTTGCATATTAATGACCATAAACTGACAGCCCATTGGTCGTCAGGTGTCAGTCTTTGTGCAGATGTCCAATAAGACTGAAACCTGCAGTCAGCTGAGCCTGAAGGAGTCACCCGATGAAGAAGAACCTTCAAATGAACAGAATCAACCTTTTCCAGAAGCTTAACAGCTTCAGGCTGTGTGAGGCAGGTGTGATACCTGAGAGGTGTTGCAGTGTTAGCCTTCACTGTCTCAGGATGACGTTCCACTGAAGAACGAGAACCTTTAAAGCCGAGTTCAGGGGGAGACGTGAACCTCGAAGCTTTGTCTCTTTGATGAGTCGTGTTTTTGTTAGTGCAGGTTCTGGAAATGTCCGTGGTGTCGGTTCCTGTGGGGGTTCTGCTCGCTCTGACCTCCTCCTGCTCTTGTGTTCTCCTGCAGATCGTTCAGTTCGGGATGAACCCGAAGGTGGGCCAGGTGTCCTTCGACCTGCCGCGCCAGGGCGAGATGGTTCTGGAGAAGCCGTACAGCGAGGCCACGGCCCGCCTCATCGATACCGAGGTCAGAACCCTGATCAGCGAAGCGTACCAGAGAACACAGCAGCTCCTCAACGACAAGAAGGCCGAGGTGGAGAAGGTAGGCTCAGCTGTTCCACGTGCCTCAGAACAACAGCCTCAGAAAGCCGCGAGTCGCGAGGCTCTGGGCGTGTCTCTGCCCACGATCGTTCTGTGCTCACCTGTCCTCTGTGGCGTTGGCAGGTGGCGCAGCGGCTACTGGAGAAGGAGGTTCTGGATAAGAACGACATGGTGGAGCTGCTCGGCAAACGGCCCTTCGCTGAGAAGTCGACTTACGAGGAGTTCGTGGAAGGAACCGGCGGCGAGGACGAGGACACGACGCTGCCCGAGGGTCTGAAGGACTGGAACCAGGAGAGGAAGCCGGAGCGGGAGGAGAGCCCGGACGAGCAGGTGGCCCGGCAGATCTCCGGAGGAATGCCCTTCTAGAAGTTCCTCCGGGTTCTGTCCTCCTGCCGGAGAGCCTTCTGAGGTCTCCTGGTGAACTTCAGCAGGGCCGGGGTGGAACCTGAAGACCTGAAGAGCGTTTCCTGTGTAGAACATCGCGTATTTATTGATCCGAGACTATCGACGGCGTTCTGCTCCATCCATGAAATCACTCATCGTCACCATGGTAACGTGCTGCTGGAGGCTGCTCAGAGATCAGATATTGATTAGTTGATCGTTGTTGCTAGCATGCTGTTTCATAATGGAATAAATGTGTAAATGTGTTTGACATGTTGAAATAAAGTCAGAGAAACTGATCGATCACCAATCACCGCTCCCTGTGATCAATAACACACACACTTCCTGTAAACACACACAGAGGAACCAGGTGAGGATGGCAGCGGCGTTCTCTCCCCTGGTGGGACGGTCTTCATGTAGGCCTGGGTGGTGATCTGGTGATTGTGCAGCGCGATGGAAGCAGTGCTGCTGCGTTTCACTGAGGGGAGGGTCCAAGCCCCTCTGAACATGTCCTGGACCTGAGAGCAAAGCTACTTCAGGCTCAAAGTTACTCGCCGAGTGGAAGAGCGCCTTCATGGTCAAACGGCGAGCTGGTGATGCTGAGTATGAGGTGGTGCGGACAGGACGTCTTTAACAAAGTAACAATGAGATCAAAGCTTTGGAAACATTTTCTACCATCAAAGAAACGCGACATTTAGAGGATGGCTGCCTCGTGCCACTGGCCAGTCCACTGGTGTCCACTAATTTAAACTCTTTGTTTTATAAAGCTATTAAAGTCCAGCGACCTGCCTCGTGTCCTTTACATCGTGGTGCCTTTGGTGAGGTTTGTGACTCGTACCAAACAACTTCAGAGAGACGCCCACATCGCTGTCTCTGGACCGTGTGGTGGCAGGTAACCAAGCTGTTTCACAAACACGATGTGTTTAGAGCCGGCCTGGTTTTTCACCCACTGAGTGGTTTGTACAAAGCAGAGCGCTTCCTGCCTTTTTATCACACAGTGTGTTCAACTTCTATTTAACATCACTGATTTTATTCAGCATAGCCCTGTCCTTGTGCCCGAGGGGTTTTTGGCTCAGACTCAGTGTGGTGATATTTTTATTGCCTGTCTTCTTCTTAAAGGAAGCAGAGGAACTGATCCTCCCTCTCAAATACGCTTTCATAGCGTAGTGTCCTCTCAACCTCGTGTCTCCTTCAAAAATTCGATGTCATCCCTGATCATTTTAGTAAACAACATGTCTTTAAGTAAGGACACATTCAAACTACCACTTTTTGAGAAATCCTGGTCTCAGTCTAGTATTTGGTTGAAGTCTGTGCCGACTGTTGTTTGTGCGATTCCAAAAGAAGCGGTGATAAATTATGAAAAACGTAGGCGTGTCTGAATTGGGAGCATAAATATTACATAAAATTACTGGTGTATCTAATAATTGTCCACGTACAGTTTATATCCACCCTCCTGATCTACTTTTGTCTCAGTGAAGTTAAGACAAAGTTTTATGCATCAGAAGCGACAGCCCGGCACTTTTGCCCGTTCCAGGGTTGGGGTGACGTTAAAACTGTCGTTTTCTTAATTACATTATTCAGTCCATCAACAGTCCAGCTGGCTATTTTTAGATCCATCCGTCTGTCCGTGTGGGAATTACACAGTGCACCAACTCACATGTACAAACATCTGAGAGAGTGGAGATAAACAAACCGACACAATCCTGTTGGACTTCTTCATGTGGAGAATTTAAATGGAGCCAGATTTGGCTTCATGGAGGGAAATTCAGCTTAAGCAACAAAGTTAGTGGAGCTTCATTTACTTCATCATGTGGACACTGGAGAGGTTTAAGCTTGACTTCACTTCCACACTGAAGCTTTGTCACCTGTTGTATCCATGTGTAAATATGCCAGACTCTTTGAATGATGTTTATTATTACAGACCAATAAACCAAAAAATCGAACTTAAAGTGTGTTTTGAAGGGAAAGATTTAATTGGCTACCTACTTCCTCCGACCTCTCCTGCTCCTGGGAAAAATTCCTATCATACAAAATGATGGACAGACTGCAAAGCCGATATTAAACACTTCTGCACTACAGCGCCACAGTTACAGACCTTGAAAACAAAAAGGAAATTAAAATACATTTTGGACTTCTAATATTTTAATTTTATAATTTTTATTATTATTGTTATCGTGTTCTTGTGTTCCGCCATCATCATTACCCGTCATCCATCTCTGGCACTCTTCTGTAGTTAGACGTTGGTCTTTCAGCTCCATAAATTACACTTTCAAAATAAATTGGATTAAAAAACATCTCAAAAACCCAAACTCCATCTGGAACTTCATTTCTCATCATCTTTTCACATTTGGGTAAAAATCCCAATGAAACTCAAACCTTCATCAACACTTTTGGCACAGTCCTTAGTCTATAAACAAACCTTTTCTCCACAGAGGTTTTATATTTGGAACAACTATAACACTCTTTACAAGAATAAGTCACTGTTCTTTGAAAACTGGTTTAATAATGGTATTCTTCTGCTGAGTCAACTATTCAATAACACAGGCTTATTACACAACTACTCAGAGTTCCTATCCAGATATAACATCCCAGTATCCCCAAGGGAGTTTTGTATTGTTTTTGATGCCATACGTCTGCTCTGTCCATGTTGTTTAGAAATCCCACTGCCTCCCCACTCCTGTTCTTGTCCCGCTCCGTCCTGAGAGACTCCTTTAGGTCAGATTTGTTTCTCCTCTTGTGAAGGTGTGAATGCCAAGATTAGGCCTCTTTTTCAAGAGTCACATGTATCCATTCCTCCTTCCATTTCTTTCTGGTCTAAGTTTGTCAAGGACATTGACTGGAAAAAAAAGTTTGGTGTTTGCCACAAAAATTCCTCCTTACTAACAAAGTGAAGGAAATTTTATTTAAGCTAATTCATAGATTCTACCCTGTTAAATGCTTCCTTCAAAATATAAGAGGGATATAGATACTCTTTGCTCCTTCTGTAAGCTCGCCCCAGAGACCTGCTCACATCTACTCTGGTCTCGTACCTCTACACAGATTTTGTGGAAAGATATCGCTGGTTTCATCTCTAAGAACATCTTATCAAATGTTGTGCTTTTTTACCAAAATGTGTTATTTGGTTACACTGCTTTTAGCAGGAAAGACTCGAATGCTTTTAACCTTATTAATCTGATTTTACTCCTCGCCAAATACCATAAAAGTTCTCAAGCAAGGAACCTCACTTTCTCACTTTTAGGAAAGAAACTGAACTCTATGTGAATACAATTTGCTCCTCTCACAACAAAAAACTGTAACTGTTTGTACTATATTTAATGTCCTTTAATTATTCAATGTCACTGTATCTCTCGCTTTTTTTTATTTTATTTTATTTTTATTTTTTTCTTTAATTTTTATTTCCTTTTCTTCTCTCTCCTTTTAATGTTGATATCTTAGTTGTTTAATTTGACACGCCGTCCCATTGTAATATAATTTTGCAATAATTGTCTCCATGTATTATATTTGTTATTACCTGAAATAAAGAGGGAAAAAAAAGTTTGATGTTCGTCAATTGTTAATAAAGTTCTGAGAAAAAACGGTTCCTGCTTCCGGTTTCAGCTCCAGAAGTTGTTGTCGTTTGTTCAAACCACTCTTCTGTCAGAGGAAGTGACGTCAGGCGGAGCCGCGGTGCGGACTGCGGGGACTCCGAGTGCAGAACCATCCGAACCGAAGCGAGCGGAGAGCGGGGAAAGCAGCGCGGGAGCGGCGGAGCGCAGCGCGGGAGCAGCTGTATGGCGGCGGCCGTTTCTGCGGTACGATCCGAAATGTGCCTGGATGGAAACACGAAGCTAAGCTAATGCTAACAGCAGGGACCCTCGGCGCGTGCTCCGTAACACAATCGGTTCGACACCACAGACTGACCGGAACCGACCGCAGAGGTCGATTAATCGATCAGCCGCTGATCGGTTCTCTGTGATCAACGCTGTGCGCGCGGCTCAGCTAGGCTAACTGTTAGCACGGAAGTTCTGGACGGTTCTGCTAGCTGCTGATGCTAAGCTAACAACCTAGGAGGGTTAAGGTGCCAACTTACCGTCCACGGTGGTAGTTTCACTCACCTGTACTGAGAAGGTGGTTCACTTCTCACCTGAGTGTATCACTGTGGGAACTGATCATCACCTGTACGCAGGTGAAGTTCCACATTAGAGATGAACACATGAAGATACAGGTGTGTTATCCTAAAGATGCTGATGATCCTGGAGTACCAGACTTGTTCGTACCTGCTCACCTGAGATCAGGTGAACTGAGTGTCCTAAAAAAATCGAAACCACAAACGAGGAAAATGCGGCACACGAACCAACACCGCGGTCCCCGAATTTGACAGAACGCCACAGACCGAGCAGCAGGTACACCGTTGCCTCCTCTGCTTCCACTGCTACAGTTTGATGCACACTAGCTGATCCAGCTCACCTGTTACAGCGCTCTGAATAGAACATGATCGATCAGTCAATCAGGTTGCTGGTGTGTCAACCACGGTGTGAGTCTCTGTGGTTGTTCAGCCTGACCTCACCTGCGCAGGTGAAGGTCTCACCTGTGTGGCTGCACTCGTAGCAATGGTGATAAAGTTTGTGTTCAGCATGAAGGAAACAATAAAAACCCACGCAGAAGAAGAGTGGAGGTTTGTTTAGCTCTGTGAGTGGGGGCGGGGCATCAGCTGATCTGAGGTGATGTCACAGACTGATGGGTATGGGTGAAGTTTAGGATGGTGCAGCCTCTGACAGCGTGAAGAGAACAGCTGGTATTGATCGTCTGTGCGGTTGATCGCTAATCAGTCAATATTGATCTCTGACAGGGAGGGCCGGCTCTCATCATGGAGAATGGACAGAGCACCACCACCAAGCTGGGGCTGCCACCGCTCACCCCCAACCAGGCGGAGGCGCTGCAGAAGGTCTATAAACACACACACACAGTGTATACACGTGCTGTTGTGACTGGCGAGCTGTGATTGGCTGTTTGTGTGCAGGCGAAGAAGTACGCCATGGAGCAGAGCATCAAGAGCGTCCTCGTCAAGCAGACTCTGGCTCAGCAGCAGCAGATCACCAACCTGCAGGTATCCTCACAGGTGTGCTCAGGGGGCGGGGCGTCAGAGGGAACAGTATAGGTAACAGCAGTCACACGGTGGGAGTCAGACCCGCTCACCCAGGTGAGCTGAAGCATTAATGGAGCAGCCGCTGAGGGGAGTCTGATATTGATTATCAGTTATTCATCACATCATGGTCGTCATGGTGTCAGAAAATATTTTATTGATTCATTTAAGATTTCGATAGAACAGCA